CGCCGTCACCAGGGCACCTTTTCATCCAAAGAAACAGAAGCCACTGGGCGCCCCACCAGAGAGCACCGCAGAGCGCCCCACGCAGCGACCTTCACCAACAGCGGAAGCCAGTGGGCTTTCAATCCTTACTGCTGGACGCTGGAGCGGAAGTTGGCGGCTGGTTGGTGTCCTCTTCCAGGACCGCGGGTGACACTCCACGGGAGCTCTGGGAACGCCCCTGCTCTGTCTCAATGATGGACAAACCCAGCGTTAATCGGAGCCATGGTGCAAACCCCCGTCACCTGCCAGCTAGGACCCAGTGGGCCATGTGGGGAGGGCGGGGTCTGCGTGCACTGCTTGTTCACGTGCAGCCACGGCCCTCGGTGGTCTCTGACCCACAGACATGTGCAGGGCCCCAGCCCTGCCCGAGCTGGCGCTGAAGCCCCCACTGCTCTGCACAACTGGGGGGATGTGCCAGGGCAGCCACCCAGTCACCTGGGAAGGCCAGAGGGCAGGGGCACATGGGATCCCGCTAGCCCGGTCAGCAGGCGGGTCAGGAAGTGTGAGAGGAGCGAGCCTTGGGGCGGGCCGGGCTCAGCACGAGGCGGGGACCATCAGGGCCACCTTCTTCCGCAGCTCCGGGCAAATACCATGAGGAGGTACGACACGTCCTTCCCTGGACCGTAAACAAAAGCCGCTGCCCTACTTCTGGGTTATCACCCGAGGGTGGGCTTCTCGTCGCTCACCCAGGAAATGACTGCCTGGGTGAGCCCGCCCGAGTGACGTGGAGCAACGGGAGCCGAACCGCCACCCGTGTCTGGTCACTGTGACCGTGCCGGTTCGCTGCATCCATGGTCTCTCGAGGGAGGCACTGACCTCTGAGCCGCAGGCGCCGGCACTGCCACGCACACAGCACGCCAGGTCTACCACCAGACGCTCACAGGCTCCCAGGCCCGGCACCAGGACAGACAGTGGTGACGGTGCGAACACAGCTCCTCCCTGGCCCAGGCTTGCTAACTCGGTCCCCTCTCCTGCCATGCTTGGTGTGGCCGGCTACACGGCTGGCCACCGCACCTGCGAGCCGGGCCCTCCTCAGGGCTCATGGCCTGCCGGCGTTATGAATGACCCTGGGCCGGGCGCAGAGGCTTGCACACGGAGCTGAGGCCAAGGCCACCACGGTGACACCGCTCCTGCCGACCTCTTGCAGACGGTGGAGATACTGCCGCTGCTCCTCTCACTCCGGGGACTCGGCCTGCCCCAGGGCCTGCAGCACGCCGGCTCCTCTGCCAGCTCCTCTGCCAGCTCGGGGACTGTCTCCCCACAGCCTCTCCACCACCAGGAGGCAACCCCCCTTCCGCCATGGCAGGAGCACCGACGGGACTGAGGAGGAGCCGGCTGGTCACAACGGAGCCCCGTCTCACTGCTCTGCCTCACTGGCACAGCGCATCAGAGGGCGGACACCAGGGAAATCGCACCTGCCTCTTTTTAACATAAAGCCCTTAATCTGGAAGGCTCAAAGCATGACAGAGTTGGGCTCAGAGGGTCCACAAGGCCCGACCCTGAGGACAGCTTCCCTCTCGGGCTGAGCCGCACTGCCACACCGAGAGCACTGTCTACCACTGA